TATAAAAGTCATTATAGTCTTGAAGAAGGAGACACGATCGCCGGGACAAGAGCTTTATTAGCCTGACGTTTCGGATTCCTACGCGAATCCATCATCAGAGACAGAAAAGCAGAAACGGGTGGTTGTTGCACAAGGGGCTGCGGTATTTATAGGATGCAGTAGCCGTACTACCGCATACCTATGAACATTCACGGCTCCCCCCTTCATCCGGGATCGTCGCACTTGGTGTGATCATTGCTTGATGGCCGACATTCAAGTCGATAATTGCTGCAATTTCATCACGTGCGTTGGATGTTGGCGTGATGATTGCTCGACCATCTGACGCACCGACCCCGGTGTTGGGAAAAGAGTTCACCTCTGCGCTCTCCGCATGGCTTGTTACTCCGCCTAGGCGAAGTTTTAGCACGCAGTATGGAGTGGAAGGATCGTTGCACTTGTTGATGGACTGGGGGCCAGTAAACCATGACTCCAGTAGCTCCCGGCTCACGCGGTTGTCACCTCTTGCGAGAATTTCGGCCACATCGAATCTGAATGTGTGGCCGAATCTCGTCGAATGAGCCGCAACTTGAGAGCTGACGTCATTTCTCCGCACCGCTGCAGCATGTTCGGCCATTCTCGTTCGGAGCTGTCTTCCGGTTTCTCCGACGTAGTTGCTTTGTCCGCAACTGCACCAGATCCGATAAACGACTCCAGACGTTTCTAGCCGTGGCAGTGGTCATTCGGTTTCATGACCAGACGCCTGATGGTTTCCTCCGGTCTGTGTGCCACTCCAACCCCAAGTGGTGTGAGAAGGCGGTCGACAAGTTCCGAAACGTTCTTGGAATACGGAAACGCCCACCAAGATTTGGTGCCCATGCGGTTAGGCCTTTCGTCCCTTTTGCGTATGCACCGGTTGACGAAGTTGCGCGGGTAGCCATTGACTTTGAATACCCGTCGGAGTTATTGTAGTTCGACAATCTTGTCTTCCGGCTCAGTGCAGTGCGTTTCGACACGCCGATAGAGCATCCTTACACAACGGCGTTTGTGGCTGATTGGGTGGTTGCTGTTGAGGTTCAGTACTCGCATCGTATTTGTCGCTTTCCTGAACACTTTGGTTTTTAGTTCACCACAATCTTTGCGGCATACGAGGACATTCTGGAAGGCCAGCTGGTTGTTCTCTTCCTCCTCCATCGTAAATTGAATGTCCGGGAAGACGGCGTTGAGATGTTCTTGGAGTGTCAACACCTGATCCCGTTCGATGACGACGAAGGTATCATCCACATACCGGGCCCAGAATTTCGGTCTGTGGTGTTGGAAGACCAGCGACTCTAACCGTTGCAGGACCGCCTCGGCGATGAATCCCGAAATCGGCGAACCCATTGGTGTGCCCTTCACCTGTTCGTAGATTGTCCCGTCGAACGTGAAGTACGTCCTGAGACAGAGCTTCAGGAGCTGAAGGACGGTTCTCAGTTTCAACGTATTTGCTTTGTAGTAGCAGCTCAATTGTCTCGATCGTCAGGTCCTGGGGAATAGAAGTAAAAAGGGATGTAACATCAAAAGATACCATGACCTCATTTGGATGGATGCTTACCTCTTTGAGTTTCTTCAGGAATTGTGCTGACGAAGAGACCGTGGTGTCTGACTCAGCGGTCAGGAACTTGAGACGCCGGAACAGCCACTTAGCCAGTCCGTACGTTGGAGTCCCTTTGAGCGACACGATGGGTCGGAGAGGAGCGCCGTCTTTGTGCACCTTAGGGAGGCCATAGCATCGGGCCAAACCCGTATCTTGGGGTCTCGCCATGCGTCTCTCGGTCGGTGTTATGGCACCTGAGTTCTCCAAGGCCAACAGCGTAGCATTAATTTCGCGTGTCAGCGCCTTTACAGGGTTTGTTGCACATGGGACATAGAACTGTCGGTCCTCCAGTAAACCTTTGGCTTTTTGAAGGTAGTCTGTCCTGTCCAGTACAACTGTGGCGCGTCCTTTGTCCGCTGACACGATGACCAGGTCTTTGTCGACCCTGAGTTCTCTAAGAGCATCAAGTTCGACCTTGGAAAGCACTTCCCGCGGCCTGTGGGCCATCAGGAGAGACGACACTTGGTGTCGGATGAGGCTCTTGGTCTCCTCCGTTGCCTCCGTCTGACTAAGGATTGATTCCACTGCTGCAATCATGTTAACAGGTTTGGCCTCAGCCTTGGAGAGCCGTGAATGTTCATAGGTATGCGGTAGTATGGCTGCTGCATCCTATAAATACCGCAGTCCCTTGTGCAACAACCACCCGTTTCTGCTTTTCTGTCTCTGATGATGGATTCGAGTAGGAATCCGAAACGTAAGGCCAATAAATCTCTTGTCCCGGCGATCGTGTCTCCTTCTTCAAGACTACTTCCTGGGACTCGTCTCTTCGCTTCTATTGGCAGTCATTATAGTGCTCAGGACATCTCCTAACTAGTGGATGTTTAAATCCCGACCGTCTAGATTTGTGCGGACTATTTGTACGTGGACCGCACCTATCCTGAATCCCATGTGTCACAGGCACATAACTGTCTGACTTTTTGATCCCAAGGAAAATTGTCACCTGTATCTCTAATGTTGCATCATTGGCAGTTCGTACGTTTGTAGCAGATTACGGCTCCATTTTACAATGAAAGATTTGCTAGAATTTGAGACATTTCCCACCGGAGACTCACAAACGGTAACTGACAGAAACTTGCATGATCACTGTACTGTTCTCGCAAGTGCTCTTACTCTGACCTGTTGCAATAAATATTTAATTAGTTAAGAATTGTGTTACCCCTGGGCGCAACCCTGTCTAAAATCCTTTAGGAAAATCTAATCAAGGATAAAGGTCGATCGGTGCGATCAGTCCTAGTTGTCGGTTGGCAGACGCTCCTTTATAAATCGAAGATTGAAAATGTCACCTAATGTCTTTCTTCGCCAACAGCCTTCTTTACGGCTTTAAAGGCTGATGTCTCTCAGGGCTTTGGGGCATTTCGATCGTTTCCAAATCCAAACAAATGACCTCCAGAGTGGTGTTTCACATCACTATCCATGTCTGATGGGGCAGGGCGTGCTGTGAAGCAGCGAATATGTGGTGAGGCACCGGACTAATTTACCTTTGACAATTTAGTTCCATTTTCTTCGACCGGATTGTTTGTTTGAATGTGACGTAAAACCACACACCTGTACAACCCGCCTTGCTAGCGTGTTCCGCTGTGGTATTCTATTGTCAGTTTTCTTAACGTTCAAAATCTCTATATTATTCACTGCTCAGTTTTACTTGCTGCTTTTAAGGTTAGGGGCTCGTGAGATATAACTCGTTAGCTCGTGAGGACATTACTATTTACGAAATTGGTGACCCCGACGTGATACGAACAGGCAACCTGATCTTGTGCACCATATCCGCACCTCCGGTCCTCCCGTGTTTGCTCGGCCGAGACGACAAGCACCAGAGCGTTTTCAGGCCGCAAAGGCGGAGTTTGAACACATGCTGCAACTGGGAATAATTCGACCGTCCGAGAGCCCTTGGGCGTCCCCACTGCACATGGTG